CCCCCATTTTTTGTATCAAGATGGAGTAGTAGAAAGCCAAAAACTTTCTTCCCCAAAAAATTAGTCACTCCTAAAAATATACCCCTTTCAATTCAAAATATAGCATTTTCTAAATACTTAAATGTATGTTTTAGTATATTTCAAGAGTATAGTAAACTAGCTGCAGCAGTGCACGGGTGCAATGCTGATACTAAATATAAATTCACCCACCGGAAATTCAAGGGCATAGAGAAACAGTGACGAAAAGATAACTTTACTTTATGAACGATCCTTTTCTCCTGCAGCTGGCGCTTCAGTTGAAATATTCGACAATCCTTTCTTATTGCACATCTACAACATAAAACGAACCTACGCACATCTTGTCAAATCTAGGATGCGACTTCAAAGTCTCGGCTTAGGACCTCCACTAAAGCCGGGTTCCAATGGCGCGGTTCTTGGCGAGTCTGGCTCGCGAATTGGCGAGTCACGCGCCCTGGAAATGCGAAGGCTCGCCCGTTCGCCAAGCGGCTTGGCGTTCCCGTCGGTTGCCGGTAAATTTGGCACGAGTCAAAGGATGAACGGGCATCGCAGGCTCGGCTTGTCCGAGCTTGTGAATCCGTTCCCACACAGAATACTTGCATTTGCAGTTTTCCCTCAGTGGCGTTGTGTTGTCATAAGGTGGCTAGTGCATCAAATGTTTTTAAATTTTCCTATTTTCACTTTAATTTTACTATCAGAATGGAGTGGTGTAACGATTTGATTCTAGAATTTTTGGAACTTTATGAAGGGGAACCAGCTATGTGGAACCCAAAGGATCCGAAGCATAAAAACAGAAATTTGGTGCACGATAGCTGGAAACGGATTGAAAGCAATTTGAGTGTGAAATGTTCTGTTGCAGATCTCAAAAAGAAGAAAGAAACGCTGATGGCAACTTATCGAAAACTGTTGCAAAAGTTTCGATAGGTTTGTTAAAACAAACCTATCGAAACAAAAAATTCACGGGTATGTATTTTTATATATATTATAAAAATCGATTTTTATTATCAGTAGTAATATAACACGGCATTAAAAATTATCGATTTTGCACGAATTATATTTTATCAGAAAGTTTCATGAATTTTGAATAAACTGGTGGCGTCCCAAAGGGCACCTTCGCCAATATCAATCGACAAAATAATATGTCACTGAAATTTTTTTGTAATTTTTATATTTATTTATATTTCCAAAAATATGCCATATATCATTATTCTTCAAAAGATCCGCAAAATAGAGAAGTTTTATGTTGTGGTATTGTTAAATGTGTCCTGAATCTCAAGTTAAGATGGTGTACGTCAGTTCT